CCATGACTACCATGTGCACCTGTCTCATCCTGTTCTACAGAGACCTGACAGTACACCCAGATGTAGCCCCTGAACAGTCCCCTGCTGCTCAACAGCACTGACACGACAGGGGCCACACCCCCTCTCTAACCTATGTCTCGGTGTGAAGCCCCTCCCAGGACTGTGCCCAATGGAGCCTCTTCACTAGGTCACGGTGACACGGAATCAAAGTGGAGATGAGAGGCACTGAAGGAAGGCATGGGTGAGTGGGAGCAAACATGTCAGTCAGAACGGTTCAGAGTCAGAGAAGACCAGCAACTCCGATGCCCGCATTTGAGAAAGGAAAAAGACACAGAACAATCCACCAAGAATATTACTTTACCTGAGTAAAAGCCATTCCTGACTCCTTTTCTTTCCTCTTCCTCCTGATCTGGGATTCTTCCTCACCCAACATGAATCTTTAAAAGTCAATCCTGAAGGTCAAAAATAAGCTGTTCAATGCTGAGAATCAACACACCCGCTCTCCATGCCACAATTCCATGAAGAGGAAACACGTCCCATGTAAAAAGAAGGTCTCGCCTGTCCATTACTCCAAGGGGGGATACAGGGACAATAAACTAATTGAGGACGATCAACTAGTGAGTCTATAACCGCTTACGTCAGAACTCGCTCCCCTCCTGGTGAAGCCCACACTGACGCTGCAGCAGCGGGGAGCTGGACTGGGCTGAGCCCCCCTCCAGGGCACAGACCCACCCTTGACCAAACCCGATGCAGAGCACAGCCCCCTCGGCCCTCCGTGGATCCCAGGCTGATCTCAGCCCTCAGAAATGGAGGACACAGGGCTCTGGTAATCTACTGCGAATACAAAGTGGCATCAACTCTAAATATTATTAAGCCTGGGCCCACTCTGACTATGTGAAGTGGAATCTCTGGTAAGGAGACAACATAAATATTTGCCAAATGCCTCAGCACCCTAATGTGAAGCCAGGGGTGAGCTCCACTCAGAGGGGCAAGGCCAGGACCCCTCCCAACTTCTGGCTCTGCTCTTCCCTTCGGGACTTGTTGTCACCAGTGTCCAGACACTGGAAGGTGAAGGACCAAGAAGAAACATGCAGAGCAGCCAACATGGACCACAGGTGGGGGTGAAGGTGTGGCTGGAATGTTAAATGGGGGACAGGGGTAACAGAAGTCCTCTCTGAGAAGGTGATATCAGAACAAAGACCTGGGGAAGGAAGGGTGCTTGTTACATGCGGCCAAGGGGCCAGAGAGTTCTAGGCAGAGCGACAGCCCACGAGAAGACCCTGAGGCAGGAGCAACCTTGGAAAAGGAAAGAGGCCGGCATGGTGGCAGCAGAGCCAGCAAAGAGGACACAAGCAGGAGATGAGGCCACAAAGGTCCTGGGTGAGCAGAGCAGAGAGGGCCCAGGTCTGCAAACCTACTTCTCCCACATCTCAACAGAAGTTTCAAAACCGTGTATTTCCATACCTGTTTTAAGTAAACATGTAGTTTTTTTCTTTGTTTCATACAAGAATTATCCTATGTATCTTAAATATATGACAAGAAATTCCACTAGGCTCCAGGAAGTACAGGGTCCTCCTAATCTGAGATGTGAGGACTGCAGGGAAAGCATTCGGGAGAGCCGAGAAAGTCCCTCTGGGATATATGAAGGGGAGATAATGTTAGACGTCCCAGCACTCAGTTAAGGACACAACTGAACACAGGATTCTAGAGTTCAGGGGAGGGGGCTGCAAGGGAACCGGAGACATGTCAGAGGGGTTTAAACCATGACATGACATGATATGGAACGGCAGTGGGTGTGGACAAACATGATAAGACTTTCGAGCACTAAATCAGGGGACACGCCCACATTCAGAGAATGCAACTCAGGAGACACCAGCAGAGGAAACTGGTAAGAGATCAAGGTGACAGGAAAAATCTAAAACAAAGCAATTTTAAAGGTTAGAGAGATGTCCCAAAGCAAACAAAAAAGAAGAAGGAATGATCAGCTGTGCAACAAGCTGCAGACAGGAAAAGACAGATGAGGAGAGGAAATTAAAAAGTGGATTTAGAAATGCAGAGGTCACTTGTGTCCGACAAAGAAATCATCAATGGAATGGTGGATGTGCAAGCTTGCCTGGAAGGGGTAAATGAAGAATTCCAGGTAAGAATTCAAGACAGGTGACATAAAAAAGATTTTAAGGTTTGCGCTGAGGGAGGAAATGTCTTCCCTTTAATGTTTGACATACAAAAAAACTAGTCATACTCAACACAGAATATTTTACCTCTAGTCCCGAATACGTGTGTGGTTTTTCCCACACTGGCCAGTTCTCTGGGACACTCCCACCTGGCTGCCCTACAATTTAACTCAATTTTGATACTATCGACCTGCACAGAGGGTCACATCCTACAGGTTAAGGACCGAGTCCCAAAGACTGCCCCTCCCTTCAGATGCAGAGAAACGTCATGGTTTCCAAACCCCCTCCTACGTTTTGATTAGTTTGTGAGAATAGCTCTTGCTTCTGGGTGTTCATCTACATGCTTTGTAATATCCTTTATAACATAAGGAAAATGTTTCCCAGAGTTTGTGAGCAGCTCTATCAAATTAATAAAAAGTGAGCAAAGGGTCATGAAATACCCAATTTTATAGCCGTTCAGCCAGAAGTTCACGTCCCAACTTGGGACCTGGGACTGGCATCCGATGTGAGGCAGTTTTGTGCAACCGAGCCCTACATCTGTGGATCTGATCCTGTCTCCAGGTAGTGCGATAACTGAGTTATCTTGCAGAACACCCTGTTGGTGTCTG